ATTTGGTTACATCCTTGGGACTGGGACTATATACTCATACATGGCAAATGTGGTCTACACAAACTGTTGCTAAATAGCATTTTGAAATCGGTCACTGCCAGTTGGAAACAATTATCATGGTATTCGAAACAAGGTATCGAGATTTGACAAAGTGTAAATGAAGCTGTGCTGTTTTGGCAGTCGCTTTGTGAGGAAAAGCAGAACTATGAGATGGAGCTGGCGCGAATCAGGGCCAAATACGAGGAGGAAACGGCCTGTCTGAAAGAAAGCCAAGCAGAATCCTTAGAAGAACTCAAGGAGAAACACCGAGTCCAGCAGGAAAGTGCTTGCAATGTCGCTGAGAGAGAGAAGAACCAGTTGCTCAGTGTAAGAACATTTTTAATTATTTTTTTACCATGAATTCAGTACTTAAAGGAATAGTTCACCCAAAAATGGAAATATAATGAAAATGTACTCACCTTCAGGCCATCCAAGATGTGAGTTTGTTTCATGATCAGAACAGAATTTGGAGAAATTTTGCATTACATAACTTGCTCACAAACACGCAGCTTTTCACTTCATAAGATGTTAACTGATGGTCTGAGTCACGTGGATTACTTGTGGATTATTGTGATGTTTTTATCAGTTGTTTGGACTCTCATTCTGACGGCACCCATTCACTGCAGAGGATCCATTGGTGAGCAAGTGATGCTAAATTTCTCCAAATTTGTTCTGATGAAGAAACAAACTCATCTACATCTTGGTTGGACTAAGGGTAAACAAATACAATTTTTGGGTGAACCTTTAAGTTAATATGAATATTTGTTCATATGAATTTAGGTATATAATGAGCTTTATGTTTTTGCTTTATTAGCATTTTCGCACTAGATATTTACTCCCGTTCTCTTTTGATTGTTGTTATTCTCTGTGTTCTGTTTAATAAAAATAAACTGCAACGTCTTAATGCAAAACAAATAAAAAAAATATGAATATTTAGTCCTATTAAACACAACTGTTGTCCAAATCATCTATTGAAACCCTGAGAGCTATGCCAAATTACATTTTCTGCTCCTCGTTGAGTGTTGTTGATTATGCAAACAGACATTTCTCATTGCAGTGATGACAATGTGACAATGATATTATTCCCACTGTTTTTGTGGCACTCCATAAAAATTGCTCTCAATCACGACAAATATTGAGACTAATCTTCTTGTCATCTCATGACAATCATGTCACTTTATTTTTGAAAACCTCTCTGTGCTCAACAAAGCTCTTTTACACCTCCTGTGTAATTAAATTGAAAAAGACTCCATCTGTCTACAGCAGATCGTCCTGCTGTCTGGTTTCACCTCTCATTTCTTGGGCCTGCTATGGCTTTTCTGATGTTTACTCTTTATTTTTACTTTCCCAGGAGATGAGACAACAGTTTGATATCAGGCGTCTGTCATTGGAAGAGCAGAGAAACCACCTGCAACAGCAACTGGAGACCATACGAGAGGAACTCACTACCAAGCTCAACATGGCCAACCAAGAGGTTTAGATGAACAACTGTTTATTTTTGTTTAGATGAACTTTTCGGCTTCAAAACACGGTAGCTAGTTTTAGATTTTAAATTTTTTGCCTAGTCCAAACTGGTTTAATCAGTTGCATTACTAGCTAATGTGCCTCATTTTGAACTGGTCGATCGTTTAAGTCTAGCTGGTAAACCATCTTAAACCAGCAATAAACCAATTTACATTTTTCAAAAACCCTGTTTTCATGTTTTTCCCCCAGTAGCTGTTTATGTTATTATATTTAACACTAATATTAATATTGCCTGTTTCCAATGTCAGCCTAATATGACAACTTGTAATTATCTTTCATGTATCATCATTATTTATATATAGTATATATTTAAAAATTGTATATTATATTTTATATTATATTGATTTTTGTAATTTAATCTGATAAGATGGAATGGTAAAGTGAGAAAGTATTGTGAACTAACGTAATTTCCATCTTTAAAAATTGTGAGTTTATTATTTTATTCATTACGTCAAGACATATACTGTATGTAAGGGAATCTACTGCATTGTAAGAAAGACCTCCATTTTGTAATTTTATACATGTGTCTGATTGTCTTTGTGGCTTTTCTCAGGTGTCTCATTTAAAGGACCTTGTGAAGGAGAGTGAAAAAAATCTGGATAATGCTGAGAACCACATCTCCTGTCTTAAAGACAGCCAGGAAAAACTTCTCATGGAGCTGGACGCCACCAGGGCGAGAGTGAGAGAGACGAGCAACCTGCTCACGGATATACAAGTAAAGTGCTCCACTGTTTTTACTCCATTTATTATAAGTTTTGTGCATTTTGAGTCAGTCTCTCATTCTGATTGAAAAATAGAAGAAGCGTTTAGAGATGTTGATATAAAATGTTATAAAAACCACTGATGCATCTCATCGTTTAGAGGGAGAAGCGGGAATTCAGTGTGGCAATCACTGCAATTGGAGACGGATAATGGAGTGTGGCAGAGATGTTAAAAGAAAAATTAAGCCTCATTCAATTTTTAAGACACCGCTTTTGTTCTGCGCTAAAGCCTGTGAAGTGCAGGAAGAGCTTGCATGTCTAAAGACGACATTTGTGTAATCAGCTCTACTGGAAACTGCTCTCTCCTTGCTTTTCCCATGATGAGTCATTATCTGCTCACAGGAAGAGATAGAGACCCAGAAACAGCAACATGAAGCTAGGGTCATCGCTATCAAAACAGAGGAAAAACAGAAAATGGACAAAATCACAGAGGAGCTGGATCTCAAGTGGACCGATGCTCTGAGGTGCTGCACGAAACATATGAGTCATGCATTACTGTAGAGAAGACAAGGCTAAAAACAGAGTAAGATTTGTCAGTGCACAGTGCATTAAATTGAATAAACTGTGACTGTACACAGTGTTTTGTTTTTAGAGAGTGCACACGGCAAATCAAATCTAAAAAGGTTCTAAAATAGGTGCAGTCTGTCCTGCATCAAAGTCTGACAAATCCTCTTACACAGGCATGCATTTGGATTAAAATATGCTAATTACAAGAGTATAAGGTTCACATCTAATCTGCACAATGGTACAGCAGCACACAGTATACAGTGAGCTGAAGGTTACGGAGACATCTGTGTCGTTCCTATTAACATTTTAATATCTCACTTTCAGAGTCAATTCCATGCTGTTGAAGTAATGCGTCCTTGTATCTGTTTCACCTTGTCAGTTTCACCCTCTGTTTCTCTGTTTACTCTCAGGGCTGAGCTGAAGGGTCTTCGGATAGAGCTCACAGCTGAACATCAGGCGGAGAAACAGGTGGCCCTGACACAACTTTCCCAGCAGAGAGACCTGGAGATGATGGCAGCCAGGGAGAGCTGGCAGAGGAAGGTGGAGGACCTCCTGGAACAGGTAACGGAAGGTCACAGAGGTGACAATTGCCATTTATACCTGTTGTCCACATTTTAGAGGTGTATTCTACATTTTTGTAACATTTTTTCCCAGAAGTACACTTGTTTTCAGGATTCTTGTTATCAAAACTGCAACAAAACAAACATTTGTAAGAAAAATAAACCAAAAATGCCACAAATAAATAAAACTTTTTTTTTTTAAGTAGCAAACGTTTTTAAAAATCAAACAAAAATGTAACAATTCAAAACAAATGTTTTTAAAAACAAAAATGGCTTGTATTTTACAGTTGTTGCGCTTGTAACATTTTTTCCCCCTAGTATACTCTTGTTTTCGGGTTTCTTGCAGCAGTCATATAGCTAAACAATTGTGTTCCAGAAACAAACAAAATTGTACAAAACAAACATTGTAAAAACAAACAAAAAAAGAAAAACACAACCAAACATACATCTATAAAAAAGCAAATGTTTGAAAAAATTAAAAAATGTAGGAAATCAAACAAATGTTTGTAAAAACAGAAATGTAAGAACAAAAATTGATTGTATTCTACACTATTGTAACTTTTTTCCCAGAAGTACTCTTGTTTTAGGTTGCTGTATTCTTGTATTCTACATTTGTATTTTAAATTTTTCACTTTTTTTTTTTTTTAAAGTAGCAAATCAAAGCCTTCTGTGTTTAAGGGACTTCTGTTAACTTCTTTGTAACTGGATCATTCATTAGAGCAAAATAATTTGCTGAATATCTAATATATATGTTCAAATTCACGTTAATGATCATATGTTAATGGGACACCAAATACCATGAAGATTTCTAAATGATTCGTTTTTGCAGCTTAATTTGAAACTAAGTCTGTCTGGACTGCTTTTTGAACATATTAGTATTATCTATATACCTTTTTTATATTAAAAGAGCAAGGAAATTCATGTTTTCCATCAAATGTCTCCTTGAATATATTAATTTGGAATAGTATGACTTCTGAGACCATAATAAGTCCCATAGCTGCGATTCTTATTTGAGTAACTGTCAGCCGTGTATCTGTCAACATCTTTCATTCGCCATTTACTTTAGATTGACATGATGTTCTTTTTGAAATTCTGATGCTGTCAAGGCTTTTCTGGTCTTGTGCATTATCAGGAAAACTTGGTGTGACTGAAAATTCTAGATACTTGATCAAGATTTTTAAGCAGAATACACACAGTCTCTAGTGTGTGCATCCTCATTTACCATGATGCTCTGCATGTTTGGCACTTTCTGTAATGTGACAGCCTGCCTCCTGTAGTCTGTCTCTCTAGAATCCCGTCACTGTCGCTTATGTCAAGAGCCTCTAAAAGTTGCTGTGTCTCACTGTGTTTTCTCACAGTTCATCAAGGCGGATGCACTTTGGTCTGTAGGGAGGTTACAGATTGGTTTTAAAATCAACTCCAGCATGGTTCCTCAACCTCGAATTATCCCGGATTTTAAGTCCCTCAACAGTTTGTTGAGGCAAATCTGCATGTGAATTTGAATTTTTTTAATTCAAATGCAGTGTATTCCAGGCACTGAAGTCTGCCATGACACACTCTCCTATTGTTTTGCCCTCATTTTATTGCCTCAGTATCTATTTTCGGCCCACCATTTGCTGCATGCAGAGATTTGCTCACCATCTCCTGTTTATTTTCTTTCACAAGACTTTCCTTTATTATTTCTTTATCTTAGGCCTCATCTCTTTTTTATGTATTGAATTGTATGAAGATTAAGAACATTATTCTTTTAGCGGATTAGCAGTTTGAATTACATTACTTTTCTCATTTAGGGTATCCTGGGGTAGTTCAGGAAATGCTGCTGAGCATATCTGAATTAATGTATTTTACTTGCATAAAACTGATGATAAAGCTCAATGGAAAGACAGCAGTCAAAATTATTGTAATAGCATGTTGCATGCAGTTGATGTCATATTTCATCTCTAATACAGGGCTATTTCTGAAAGGATTACATTTCAGATTGGCTGTGGCATTGTCATTTTTTATTTTCAGCATAATGACACATTTCCCATGCTGGTTGATGCAATAAAATACATTTTTAAGTTCTTGTTGTTGCAGTGACTTTAAATCCAATTCCCAATGCTCCAATTTTCTCTTTTGTCTTCAAAATATCGCCACTTTCTTCCTGACTGTTGCCTGCTTTACCTTCACCCAAATATAAGTCATCCACAGTTCACAATTTCCATCTCTCTGAGGGTTCGGTATTCTGTACGAGTTGTTTGAACCTGTTTTCTGTGTTTCTGTTGTGCCAGATCTCTCTGCTGAAGCAGAGCCTGGAGCTACAGATGTCGCAGTCGAAAAGCGCGCTGCAGCAGTTGCAGGCACAGTTCAGCCAAGAGCGCGAGCACCTGGCACAGCAGATGCAGGAGCTGGCTCTGGAGCATCAGCACAGAGAGTGCTGTCTACAGGAAGCCCACTGCTGCGCCATGCAGGACATGGATGAAGCGCAACAAATTGAGCTTAGGGTACCTTCACCTTACATTACACAGGCATGCACAAATGCAAAGTCACACACAGTGTCATGAGCATGTGAAGATATGCTTCCCTCTCCCAAATGCCTCTGATGTAGATGCGTATTTCATCAATTATGGACACTTTTGACCCTGTGGACTTTTTGAAAATAAACCTTCTTAAAACATAGTTTTCATATTTTTTCAATAGTATTTAGTATTCAAATATTTCAGTATGTCCAACATGCGTCACAGGAGAATTCTGTCATCATTTTTCTTTCTAGAATTGTTTTTTTTTTTTTCTGAAAGTATTTCCTTTATTTTCCACATATTATTGGAACGTTTTCAGAAATATCTTTGAACGTCCTTTGTTTTGCTAAGACTAATTTTATAGCTAGTATTTTATGCATTCTAAATATACATGGTTAAATAATATTGTTCACGCTTTGTATAATTTAACAAAATTAAAGCTTGATTGGAAATGCTTGTGATATTCATTTTTTAGTTTTCTTCATACATCACATCTCACAAATATTATTTGTTTTTGTTTGTTCAAATAGTTTAACATTTCGTTTTTATATTTTACAATCTTGAATAGGGATGCACCGATGTATCGGCTGCCGATATTTATCGGCCGGTTTTTTATTATTTTAAAGCCATCGGCATATCGGAAATAGCATGAAAAGGGCCGATTCCGATGGTTTATTAGTTAACTGCATGGAGACAACGAGTTGCATGTCTGTTGCATAATCCAACGTTTTTCTCTGGGCAAAATAATTCAATACTTGCCAAAACAAAATAAAAATAAAATCTGTACAAAATATAGTTTGTCAGACTACATAATACGGCCTATGCAGACGTGACGCTGATGCATCCAACGAGTGAAATGCCCGCTCTCAGCTGTAAATTCATCATAGGTAAGTCGCAATGGCAATGCACCGGCATTAGAGTTTATCCGAGGATATGTCACGAACCGCCAAGCATTAGGCCTACATTTACTGTAAGTGAAAAAGAATGGCAGGTTATATGCAGCTTTTTGTTTGAAACCAGTGTAGAACACAGATTCACACAAGGTCACATCACGCACCTGCTGCGTTTCTGTGAACTGAGAAAACAGAATAAAACTATATTGGCTACATAAAAAGGAATATATAGGCCTATAGACAAAATATATTTCTCTTAAATCATTAACAGATTAACAAAACGAAAGAAAAAAATTGTGCTGAGTTTCGGATAATAACGCGCTCCGAAGTTCACGGGGAAAAAAAACGAGACGGCAGAAAGCCGTTTTCTTTATTTTACAAAAGCTTTACAGTTTTGAATGATGTTTTGCTTCTATCTGTATGACCAATCAGCATTGGTATGACCATAAATGACCTGTAACAGTTGGGAAAACAATGCAGTGATCACGTCCGGTGCCTCACATGCAAATACAACAAATTTTTGCTAATTTGACATCGCAGCCTGTTCATTATCAAAATAAAATACTGTTAAAGAAACATAAAAAGTTACACTGCTCAATTTAAATAGTCCGTAGTACAGTATGTGCCGTTCAGTGTGACCAGCGCGCCTCACTGCTGATATAGCCTATATGTGAAGGATGATGTTTATAATGCGAGTAAAGAACAAAGCCTATAGTTTAATAATAGGTTAGAATTCATTTTGGCTTGACTCTTATATTTAGCACAACTTTAGAGGATTTGTTGTGGAGAGAAGGGAACTAAAATTGCCTAATTGTGTTTGTAATAAAAATACTTTTTTAGTAGCTGTTTTTAATGCATTGACAGTTTTTTCTTTTGTTTAATACATTTGGTCTTTGGTAAATCTAGAAAAGATGATTCTGTATTGCTATGACTAAGTGGGATCAAGGAGATCAAGACATGATTTTTTTCTTTTTGAGTAAATTAAACGCTGTACTTTATTATTATTATTTTTATTATTTATTATAAAGAAAAGGTTTAAAAAACAACGTTATTAACCGGTATGTTTTCTGCCCAAACCGGTTTCACAGAGGAACGCAGGAACAGAAATGTTCAAATACCGATTCTGCTCGGAGTGAACCAATCTTTTTTTTTTCTTTCTCGTTTTTAAGCCCTGCTTTATGCAATGGACCAATATCGGTATCGGTATCTGAATCGGCCAATAGTTGTTTGCCAATCTTTTTCTCGTTTTTAAGCCCTGCTTTATGCAATGGACCAATATCGGTATCGGTATCTGAATCGGCTGAATCGGCTTTGTTAAAAATCGGTATCGGTATCGGCCAAAAAAAATCCTATCGGTGCATCCCTAATTTTCAATTTATATTTTATGGAGGATTTTTATTGTTTATAGTTAAATTATTTAAATATTTATTTAATATAACATGAATACGTTATTGACCGGGCAGACGTTTGGGGGTGTCTTAAAGTTTTACGAAATGCTTACCAAGGCTGCATTTATTTGATTACAAATATATAAACAGTCATATTATTAAATATTAATATTAATAAATAATATATTTTCAAATGTAATATATTCCTGTGATGCAAAGCTGAATTTTCAGCAGCCATTACTGCAGTCTTCATTGTCACATTAATGTTTCATTTCCTTCAGAAATCATTCTAACATGCTGATTTGATGCTCAAGAATTATTTCCTTTGCATCCTTGCTGAATAAAAGTGTCTATTCCTTTAAAAAAATCTCACCGACCCCAAACCTTTGAACGGTAGTGTATGTGTTACTTGTTTTTCATATAGTCGTGATGCCTCCTGCCTGTCATCCTGTATTGATTATTACCTTCACTGTCTCCTTTTCCCCTTCATAGTACTGTACATGTCTGTTTCCTTTACTCTCTGGATTTGTCACCCCTGCATTATCACCCCACACTGAGAATCTCCACTGTGCATGACATCCATATGGTAAATTACCCTCCTTTTTGTCCTTCCTTGTCTACAGTCTACTCCTAAAACACAATATGCATATAAAAACATGTTTCTCATCCAGGAACACGCAGCTGTGGTTTCATTTCAGAATTGAGCATTGCACAGAATATTTTAAGATAGCAAGCCCATACATTTGAAGCAGACACGTGATGCAGAGTCTAACAGGCTTTTCTCCATCTCGCTCAGCCTTGCGCTGCGGCCATGAAAGAAGCTTCTTTAAGCTGATTTGGCCACATTTCAGATTACTAAGTAATGAAAAAATAACATTAATAGTTGCTTTCATCTCCATTCTTTTATGTCAACCCTTGAATGCGGTTGTTGGCGCTGCATGTTAGAGTGGCTCTGTGGGTGGACTGTTTAAATGTCCTCTCGTCCTCCCAAATGTGGGGTGGCATGGAAGCAGCAGGATAAAGAGAAACTATCAACAGAGTGTCAACAGTAAAACAGAATGATTCTCTAAATAGATGATACTGCACAACTTCATCTAATTAGTAACTTACCCACTGTATTGAAAATCCTCTTAATTCCTATTCTTCTTCCCAAATTTCTGCAGTTAATTCAGTCCAAATGGCTTAATGCAGAGGTTTACAGACTTCTTGATATGAAGGCTGCTCTAATACTAATATGATGTTCTCCTTCCTAAAATACCAAGTCAGCTATACTGTATAGGCTACTATATTTAAAGGCCTATTTATGCTGTGTGAAAAAATGTATGAAATTTTAAGGAGTACATGTTTAAATATTAAATAATTGGCATTCATGTTGTCATTTGTTTTTATATTTTACAGTTAAAGCTATGGCTCTAATTCTTTTTGAGTAAATTAAACGCTGTACTTTATTATTATTATTTTTATTATTATTGGCAAAGAAAAGGTTTAAAAAACAACGTTATTAACCGGTATGTTTTCTGCCCAAACCGGTTTCACAGAGGAACGCAGGAACAGAAATGTTCAAATACCGATTCTGCTCGGAGTGAACCAATCTTTTTTTTTTCTTTCTCGTTTTTAAGCCCTGCTTTATGCAATGGACCAATATCGGTATCGGTATCTGAATCGGCCAATAGTTGTTTGTTAAAAATCGGTATCGGTATCGGCCAAAAAAAATCCTATCGGTGCATCCCTAATTTTCAATTTATATTTTATGGAGGATTTTTATTGTTTATAGTTAAATTATTTAAATATTTATTTAATATAACATGAATACGTTATTGACCGGGCAGACGTTTGGGGGTGTCTTAAAGTTTTACGAAATGCTTACCAAGGCTGCATTTATTTGATTACAAATATATAAACAGTCATATTATTAAATATTAATATTAATAAATAATATATTTTCAAATGTAATATATTCCTGTGATGCAAAGCTGAATTTTCAGCAGCCATTACTGCAGTCTTCATTGTCACATTAATGTTTCATTTCCTTCAGAAATCATTCTAACATGCTGATTTGATGCTCAAGAATTATTTCCTTTGCATCCTTGCTGAATAAAAGTGTCTATTCCTTTAAAAAAATCTCACCGACCCCAAACCTTTGAACGGTAGTGTATGTGTTACTTGTTTTTCATATAGTCGTGATGCCTCCTGCCTGTCATCCTGTATTGATTATTACCTTCACTGTCTCCTTTTCCCCTTCATAGTACTGTACATGTCTGTTTCCTTTACTCTCTGGATTTGTCACCCCTGCATTATCACCCCACACTGAGAATCTCCACTGTGCATGACATCCATATGGTAAATTACCCTCCTTTTTGTCCTTCCTTGTCTACAGTCTACTCCTAAAACACAATATGCATATAAAAACATGTTTCTCATCCAGGAACACGCAGCTGTGGTTTCATTTCAGAATTGAGCATTGCACAGAATATTTTAAGATAGCAAGCCCATACATTTGAAGCAGACACGTGATGCAGAGTCTAACAGGCTTTTCTCCATCTCGCTCAGCCTTGCGCTGCGGCCATGAAAGAAGCTTCTTTAAGCTGATTTGGCCACATTTCAGATTACTAAGTAATGAAAAAATAACATTAATAGTTGCTTTCATCTCCATTCTTTTATGTCAACCCTTGAATGCGGTTGTTGGCGCTGCATGTTAGAGTGGCTCTGTGGGTGGACTGTTTAAATGTCCTCTCGTCCTCCCAAATGTGGGGTGGCATGGAAGCAGCAGGATAAAGAGAAACTATCAACAGAGTGTCAACAGTAAAACAGAATGATTCTCTAAATAGATGATACTGCACAACTTCATCTAATTAGTAACTTACCCACTGTATTGAAAATCCTCTTAATTCCTATTCTTCTTCCCAAATTTCTGCAGTTAATTCAGTCCAAATGGCTTAATGCAGAGGTTTACAGACTTCTTGATATGAAGGCTGCTCTAATACTAATATGATGTTCTCCTTCCTAAAATACCAAGTCAGCTATACTGTATAGGCTACTATATTTAAAGGCCTATTTATGCTGTGTGAAAAAATGTATGAAATTTTAAGGAGTACATGTTTAAATATTAAATAATTGGCATTCATGTTGTCATTTGTTTTTATATTTTACAGTTAAAGCTATGGCTCTAAAAAAGTATAAAACAATCATGATTACTCTAAAAATTTCCAAATTATGATCCACACTTATTTGTTTTTTTTAATTTGGTCTTAAAATTTTTTGAAAATGTAAAAGAAAATTATATTGTCCTTACATTAATGTTCAGCCTTCAAAATGTAACAGCCACGATGATGTCATCATAACATTCTAAATTGTGATTGGGTTTCATTTTAACATTCATTTGCATGCTGAACTGTGATTGGTCTTTTCTTTGTTACATATATTTAGGCTTTCAAAATGATTAATCGCGATTAATCGCATCTAAAATAAAAGTTTGGTTTGCATAATATATGTGTATATATGCATATAAATATACACAGTGCACACACATATCATGTAAACACAAACTTTTATTTTGGATGCGATTAATCGTGATTAATCGATTTGACAGCCCTAATATTTACACTACAGTGCAAAAGTTTGGGGTTATAAGATTTTTTAAGAAATTAATAATTGTATTATTCAGCAAGGATGCATTAAATTGATCCGTTTTTCACATTTATCATGCTACAAAAGATTTCTTTTTCAAATAAATGCTGTTTGACTTTCTATTCATCACAAAATCACAGTTTCCACAAAAAAGTTTAGCAGCACAAAAGTTTTCAACATTGAAATATTTCCTGAGCATTAAATCAAATAATAGAATGAATTCTGAAGTATCATGTGACACTGAAGACTGGAATAATGACGGATGAAAGTTCAGCTTTGCATCACAGGAATAAATTACATTTTACAATATATTAAAATTGAAAAAGCTTTTTTTAAATTGTAGTAATAATAATAATAATAGAGACAAAGCAGTGCTTCATTTATACACAATCAAAAAACCTAAGCTTACCTAAAATTTTAACATTGTTTTTTTGCTGCCTTGCAACCTCTGCCATTTCCTTCATTAAATGCAAATCAAGTGTTCTCATTGACACCTTTTGTTCCCATCGCATCATGTTGCATTCAGATGCAAATGTGGTCTTTTGTTTTATGCATTGGATGTGTGCTTCTGCATTTTTATGTCTTTATTTTCCTCTGCGTCTGTACGTGTGCATTTGTGTAGGAGCTTGAGGATCGTCTAAACCAGGAACAAAGAGAGGAGTTACACGCTTTGAGAGATGCCCACAGACAGACCCTGGAAATCCTTCGGCAGCAGTCGGACCAGGAGCTGCAGACGCTGCGCTTTGAGCTGGAGGATGAGGGCAAAGCCATGCTGGGTGAGTCATACGCTCACATTAACTACAGCACCACACACCAGCCTACAAGATTAGAGCCTTCTATGAGGTCATTAAAGTCCTGTAGTATATTCATATACACTGTTATCATGACAGTAAATAGTCATTTTCACAGCTGTTTTTATCCTAGAGTAACTCACAGTGCATTTATTACAGAGCAAATCTTTTCGCTCAAAGGTATGATGATAATAGCTCATGGATCGCTCACTGCAGGGGTTTGAACTTACAACCTTCTGGTCACCACCCTAGAGTGATTATACCACAATTAGGCTCTTAGTAGGCTCTTAATACAAGAAAATAAGTGTGTTTAAGTTGATTTTGTTTTTCACTGGGTTTCTTTTATGTTGTGTAGCTTCCCTGCGGTCTGAGCTCAATCATCTCCATGCCAGTGCCATTGAACACCTGCGACAAGTCCATTTGAAGGAGAACAATGCTGCCAAACGACAGCTGGATGACACTATTGAGCGCTGCAAAGAACATGTGAGCATTCCTGAAAGTCACAAAGCATGATACCACACTGTATCTCGATACTAAACCCAACAGAAATGGCGGTTATCAGCAGACTTGCCATTTTGAGTTGGTGACGGATGCAGACTCTTGATTAAGTCTAAAAAACAATAGTATTTTGATTTATTTTTGTTAAAACTTACACTTGCATCTGGTTACTGGTGATACCCTGTATTTTCTCCATATTTGCATTTAGTAAGAAGCTTTTTCTCTCATGGGAACCATGACATCTCATGCATTGCAGATAAGAACATTTGAGCCTTAGCAAAACAGACAGTCACACGTGATATGCTTCATTATTCATCATTATTATTATCTTTTTCATTCATTGAAGTAAAGATGAAATAAAATACAAATATTAGAAATGCTGCCTTGGCAACAGTTGAAGTTGAAGTACTACAACTAACTGAAAATAAAATTTAAGCTAAATAGAAATATAAAAAAAAGCAAATTCAAAATATTAATACATATTATAATAGTATTTAAATAAAACTAAAATAACACTGCTCAGATTTAGTGTTTTGTTCAGATTTGTCATGACTTTCTTTTTTCTTTGGAAAATATTTTAAAAAATGTATCAGTGCTTTTTTGTCCATACAGTGAAAATCACTGGGGTCTAATGTTTTTTGATTCTCAGTGATTTTCAAAATATCTTGTTTCACATTTCACAGATGAAGGAAGGTCATACAGGTTTAAACCGACATGAGGGTTAATAAATGATGACAGAATTTTAATTTTTGGATGAACTTCCATTTTTAAGTATGATCAATACTAATAGTGACCACTAATGAAACCAAACAGAATACCAAAAAATTTTTTGAATGGGAGATTCAGTGTGAGGTCCAGGAATTTGCTACCTGTCTGGATAAAACCTGATGCCACATTGGTGCCCTTGGTTTTAAGACATGGTTGTGGTTTCACAATAGAAAGGCTTGAATCTGACTGAGAAGTGAAACGAGTGCCAGGCTATTATAAAATGTCTCTAAGCTAAGCTGCAAAGCTAAGTTTGAAGAATAACCACGATGATTAAAAAATGAGGTATTGAATTCTGAATTATGGGAGAGCTCTTACCGTGACTTACACCCCTTCCCATTTTCATATTTGATTTATAATCCCCCTCTCTGTCTTTCTCTATAATACACACTCATAGTCTCACTCTCTCATGTTCGTTCCACTTCAGTTATTACTTCAGCACAATTTAATCTTTTTTAATGTGACCTATATACATATTTTGAAAGCTTATGGGTGTGGCACAAAATCTTCTAATGCTTTTTTAAGCGAATCATTCCAATGCGATGAAATGATAAAAACTGCATTTGTCGCCTCATTTAGACACGCAGTCATCCATCTGTTAAAGTCGATATATCATGAAATGCATTCGCTCAATGAGACCATCAGCACCTTGACCAAGGAGTTGGAGCTCAAAGTGAAAGAAGTTCTGAGGGTGCGCAGTGAGGCCAATATGCAGATCAGGTACCAACTTATTAACATCTGTGAGGATGTATTAACCTTTTATGATGCTGTTTTAGCTTCTAGAACTTATTGGACTCAGCACTTAGTCAAGCAATCGAAGATCTTGCTTCACTTTTTGATCCCATTCCTCCCTATTTCCACATCACTTATTGTCTCCCTGTCTCTGTCAATAAAATGCCAGAAAGGCCAGAAACATAACGAGAAATTGCCATGCTCACAGTAATACTATCATGTTAAGGTTAGAGTACAAACAGTGAACAATGCTGTTATCCTGGTTTTTGATAGCCTCATTTTATGCCAAAAAAGAGCAACTGACATCTTATTCGTGTGTAGAATCTTTTTTGGCTTTCATGAGCTATTAAATTATAAAATCTTAAAGGTCAGTCTAGCTGAACCAGAAGCTAATTTAATGTGAGAAGAAAGCAGACGGAGCTATTTCCCACGCAAAAGCCCACCGCCTTCAGGCAGAGCTCTCTGGTTCAGTATCATTTCAGTTGCATTCTTCTGTTCTGTTGGTATAAATGCATCAAGGTCAGTGGGAAGTGTCTGGCAGATATATACAAACAAATTTAATTTGGTTTTATTCAAATGGGCTAATTCCTGGCTCATGAAAAGAGATGATATTCTTTGGGGAACTGAGGGAATTTGTTCTAAGTAAGTGAGCTTGTTCGTCTCCAAGCAAAATAAATTTGAATGTGTTTGTTGTCCAGAGTATTTGCTCTATTTGTTGACACTACATTCTTAAAAATAAAAGTTCCAAAAAGTGTTTTCGCAGCAGTGCCACAAAAGAACCATTTTGGGAAACTTTCAGTATACAGTTCTTAAAAAGAACCACTTTTTTTAGTGTGAAGAACATTTTAATGTTTCTCCAGTGTTGAACCTTTTGTGCAATGGAATGGTTTCATGGATGTCAAAGGTTCTTCACGGATTTTTAAAGAGTGTATGTAAATGGACAAACTGTTTTGCATATGTTAAATGATTTTATTTTATGTAGGGCTCATGAACAGGATCTCTCTAAGCGCCTCGAGAGGGAGATTGACGAGCTGAACGCTTCTCATAACAGAGAGACCCAGATCATGCTGTCAGATTTTAACAAAGCTCAGGAGCTGCTAAAAGACAAGATCTCTGCTCTGCAGATTCTGTGAGTCCCTTTATCTCACTTACAGATTGAATATCAAATTGAATTGAATATCAAAACACATTATTTTAATGTAATATCCTCGTGAATATTTCAGAAGACAGCTAGATGAATCACATTAGCTCTGGTTCAAAACCTAGCGAGCTGCCTTGATTTCTACTACAGTATCCTAACAAATAGGTCTTCTAAGGCTAAAATGGTACCTCGAGTGTAATTGCTTCTCATGAGATCACAGCCGTGCTCCACACATAATGTTCTAAGTATTTTTGATGCTTATTGAAGTATTGCAGTAGATAGTATAGGATAGGATAGTAGTAGTTTCGCTGAGATGGTTGCAGTGCAATTCTGGGATTAAACGTGAAGGATATATGTGATTATGCCTAAAGGAGCATTCACACTGACTGCAATTTGAAGCGGGAAAAAAGTCATTCATTTTTGGTGAAAATTGACCATTTGAAGCAACATAAGTGACAGAGGCCCAGTCCCAATTCTATTTTATACCCCTTCCCCTTCCCCTACCACTCCGCCTACCCCTTCCCCTTGTCCCTTGAAACAGAGTGTCAAGGGGTAGGGGTGAAAATATTCCCCTAAGAATTGGGACACCACTACTATACGTCACACGTCATCATACGTCGTCTAGCTCCTACAATACACACACATACTGGTGTGCTGGTGTGCATTAGAGCCTTTAATTACCGTCCTATATTAATGCGCTGCTTACTGACACACACACACACACACATATATTTATCGGAGATCGCGCAGCTCAAACATCCAGAAGAAAAGAAACTTGTCAACGCTGCCCCACGACTTTTATTAATAACAGTTTAAATACTGAATCGCTACATTATATGGCTAAGGGGTATAATTGGGATTGGACCAGAGATTGCTAGCAATGAGAATTAGCATAAACAGTTTACTTTATGCAAAAACAAGAAGTCTGGTGGGAACATCTACTAGCAACCAACAGTACAGCAACATGGCACTTTGATGGTTTATAAATCACTTTGGTAGTCTGTAAAACTTCATGTTAAAAGCATGCCAATGCAGTGTTGTTATTGTTAAATACTAAAACTATTACAATTGTTTTTCTAATTTAAATGAAGATGAAATAAAATATACATTTTATACAAAGCACTTAAAAATCTGAAATAGAAATAAGTTGTGTAACTACAAAAATAACTAGAAATAAAACTGAGATAAAAATAAGTTAACAGTAAATACAAATATATATTAAAAAACTACTAAAAAAAAAAAAAAAAACTGTTACTGTATGTGAACTATTGACTCATTTGTCTATGTTTACATTTTAATTTTATCCGTTTTATTTTATTTTAAATAAAATAAATAAAAATAATTTTAAAATTATTATTATTTAAAATTTTAAATTCTATATAATTTAATCTAATTTATTTATTTTATATTTAAAAATGTTATATAATATTTATATATATTTAAAAATATTTGTTATATTTTATTTTTATATTTTGCTTATATTTTTATATTTGTTATATAAAATTTTGTACAATTATATTTATTTTTATATTGTACAATTCTTTATTTTTTTAATTCTATCTATCTATCTATCTATCTATCTATCTATCTATCTATCTATCTATCGATCTATCTGTCTATC